TTCTCATCCTCTGTCACCCCCTTCTCCTCCTGGCCTCAATCTTTCCCAGCATCAGGGTCTTTTCAAATGAGTCAGTTCTTCTCATCAGGTGGCCAAAGGATTGGAGTTTCAGCTTCAGCATCAGTCTTTCCAGTGAATATTCAGGACTGATTTCCTTCAGGATGGAATGGTCGGATCTCCTTGCAGTCCAAGGGGACTCTCAAGAGCCTTCTACAACAACACAGTTCAAAAGCATCGGTTGTTTGGTGCATCAGTCTTCTTGATGGTCCGACTGTCACAGCCGTACATGACTACTGGAATAACCATAGCTTTGAGTATACAGATCTTTGTCAGCAAAGTGATGGGTTTGCTTTTTAATATGCTGTTTAGGCTTGTCACAGCCTTCCTTCCATAATGTCAAAATGTTCCCTAGCTAGGATTCCAGAAGCATTTTCTAAAGTTATTTACAAGTTTTAATCATATGAGTTTTCTTGGCGGTTATATCCGATCACACCTAATGCCTTATTTTGAAGATGGTATGGATCTTCTGGTCGTGTGGAATGACGGGTCTGTTAGTTTATGATAGTTTAGAATGTGGGTCCCAGGGGGTCAGCATGGGGGTAGGAGGCGGCCTCTTAGGAGGGTGGGGTGGGGTGGGGGAAGGTCGGCACTGCTGAAGAGCCCAGGTGATGCGGGAGAATCAACCACGCTGTGGAGGTGCCCGGACATAGATCTGCAAAGCAGGCAGACAGACAGACACATGTGTGCACACACATGCTCATGCCCAAGTACAAGGCACACGTGCCCACGTACACATGCAACGCTCGTTCAGTACATATTCATGCACGCAGACACACGTGTGCACCCGTGAGCGCGTGCCCGCATCACTCATGCACTAGCGCGTGTGAACGTGTGTGCACTCACGTACCTGTGGGCACCGGTGCCGTGTGTCCTTATGCAGCGTGCATGCTCTGGGACGCATACAGGCACACAAATATACGCACAAACATGTACACATGCATATCTATACACACACACACACACACACACACACACGAGCGTGCATACACCAATTAACTGGAAAAACCTGCATGTGACAATCAAGTCTGTTGCTGTTGGTGGCAGCCCTCCAGAGAGCCTTGTCCATGGGTTGTTTGCGTATTCCCCACTTTCCCACCGAAACTCTGCATGGTCCAGTCCTGGAATCCCTCTGCTTTGGGCAGCTTGCCCAGACGACGCCGGATAAATCGAGCAATGGAATTTGTATCATCACGGGACCCCTGGGGGCAGCAAGAATGTTTCCCACGAGGGACTCACGCTAGCATGCTGGGTGGATACGCAAGCTCCCCTAGCTGTCGCTGGAACTTGAGAAAGCATCCTTAAGACGAAGAGGGCAGCCTCTGAAGCCGTCAGCAGTGGTCACAACGTTTCTGTGCAGCAGCACGGGATCCACATACCGGAAGTTGTCGGCAGCTTGGTACAGGATGGTTATACGCTGGACAGCCAGAGGCAAAGAATGATCTGCAGGTCGAAGCTGACGTTCTGGCTCAGTCCTCGGGGCCTAACTGATTTATAAATTACTTTCACTATTTTGGTTTGGCTTTATTCTTTTCCTTGAAGAGGAGAGTGAGATGAAAACAGTCAGGAATTTGGTATTTCTCTTGAGGCTCTGGGCTTCCTTGGTGGCTCAGCTGGTAAAGAATTCGCCTGCAATGCAGGAGACCTGGGTTCCATCCCTGGGTCGGGATGATCCCCTGGAGAAGGGAAAGGCCACCAACTGCAATACTCCGGCCTGGAGAATTCCACAGACTCTATAGTCCATGGGGTCACAAAGACTCGGACACAACTGAGCGACTTTCACTTTCTTGAGTCTTTGGTCAGACTCCTATTCTGTCGCATCTGTACGGAAAGCCATTTCTGCTGTTCGTTTCACCTAGAATTTCAGTGTTAAGTGTTTTTCTCCTTTAGGGAATGATGAGTTCGATATAAAAGATGCTGTTGATGATGGAGGAAACTACGTAGTTTGTCTTCAGTCTCCCGTGTGTCTGACTTGCTTATTTATCATTTCAGAGAGGCTTGTCTTTTTTAAGGAAGTCGAATTAGTTTTCACTCGGAGAGCGTAAGGAACACGTGTATTTTTTGTCATTGCTGAGTTTTTGTCTTTTATCCGTATGCTCACCTTCATTTGGGGCTTTCTGGGTGGTACTCCTGCCAATGCAGGAGACTAAGAGACGCGTATTTGATGCCTGGGTCGGGAAGATCCCCTGGAGGAGGACATGGCAACCCACTCCAGTAGTCTTGCCTGGAGAATCCTGTGGACTGAGGAACCTGGCGGGCTACAGTCCACGGCATCACAAAAAGCTGGACGCGACTGAAGCGACTTAGCACACATGTAGTGCGCTGTGTCTCTAAAAACCACGTTCAGGCCTGAATTTATAAAATTTGCATTGAAAATGCTCACCATCTTGTGAGCCTTCAAGAAGCAACATCAGACATCATGGATCAGATTGTTGTTGTTCACTCGCTCAGCTGTGTCCGACTCTTTGCGACCCCATGGACTGCAGCACGCCAGGCCTCCCTGTCCATCACCAACTTCCAGAGTTTACTCAAACTCATGTCCATTGAGTCAGTGATGCCATCCAACCATCTCATCCTCTGTTGCCGGGGTCCAGCCTTGGCAGGATCCGGGGGATACCCTCAGGATGAACGGCGTCGGCGAGAGAGAGAAGACACATGAGACCAGCCTTGATGGGGCCAAGTCTGCGAGGGAGAGAGAGAGAAAGAGAGAGACAGAGAGACCAGATGGGGGGTGCAGCTGGCAGAGTCTGGCAATGCTTTATTTTTTACCGTAGCTTTTATGCCCTAAGTTAGTACATTTCTCAGGGGAAGACAGTTTAACATTACGTCAGCTTGTCCTTCACAAAACGAGGGTGTTTTCTGCATACTCCTTTGTTTATGAGGGTCTTGTACGTTATCTTCTGGCCTTGGGGCCTATTAACATTTTAGGCCGGTCAGGTGAATGCAAGCCTATTTTCTGTTTCTGTGGTGATCTTAACAGAAAAGTCACAGTCTCATAGGGAGATAGTGCAGAGTAGAATTATATCCTTATTAATACAAAAATCAATCCTTCTGCAGAAGTTGTCAGTTGCATTTATCTAAGAAGTTTACCCCATACTGACTGCGACTTTGGTGAGGCAGCTTCTGCCTAGCACTCCTGGCTGACAATTAACAACCACCTCATTGTTACCACGCTAGGGCTAAGTCCTTATTTCTCTAGATCTTAAACTATATTAACAATGGTTTCTATAACACGACCTTAGCACATTAAAAGCGAAAACACAGCAAGCAAAACACCCACAGCAAGCAAATCTCAACCCAATAACCACCTATAGAATAATTTTTCTTATGATTTCTAATAGGACTCCTTTACTCCTTAAAAAGGCTCTATGTCTATCAGGGCTTTTATATAATCAGGTTCTTTATGCTCTTTTATGATTAGGATATTATAAGCAATCATGCATATTAGTACCAAGGGCATAAATGCATTTGGCTAACAAACTATCAGCAAAGGAGTTTGAATTAAAACACTCCTTTCACCCTGGATAATCTCATAAAATACCACCGCCTGGGAAACTTACTGATTAAAGTTCTAAATTGATTCTTATTTGGGAAGAGATGGGGGAAGGCCTTCTGCCTGTGTCAGAGAAATTAGGGCGTAGCCTGTTGAGGCGGCCATCAGAAAGACAGATATCATCTTTAAGGTGAGCGCCGGGGGCAGCTTTTCGGAATCCCTGAAAACCTGATCTGCCTTGCCTGTCAGGCTTTCTCCTCGTGACCTTGACATGGGTGGGATCTCGTGTGCTGGCTCCTGGCACTCTGCCGTCCCCTTCTCCTCCCGCCTTCAGTCTTTCCCAGCATCAGGGTCTTTTCCAGTGAGTCAGCTCTTCGCATCAGGTGGCCAAAGGATTGGAGCCTCAGCTTCAACATCAGTCCTTCCAATGAATATTCAGGACTGATTTCTTTAGGATGGACTTGTTGGGTCTCCTTGCAGATCAAACACTCACAGTCCATCAAATAAGAGCAATGAAGAAGTCATTGGGTTTGGGTTTTTTTAAGACAGGACATGAACATCTGGGCTTAAAGCTCAATGTTCAGAAAACTAAGATCATGGCATCTGGTCCCATCACTTCATGGCAGATAGATGGGGAAACAGTGGAAACAGTGTCAGACTTTTTTGGGGCGGGGGGGCTCCAAAATCACTACAGATGGTGACTGCAGCCATGAAATTAAAAGACGCTTACTCCTTGGAAGAAAAGCTATGACCAACCTAGGCTGCATATTAAAAAGCAGAGACATTACTTTGCCAACCAAGGTCCGTCTAGTCAAGGCTATGGTTTTTCCAGTGGTCATGTATGGATGTGAAAGTTGGACTCTAAAGAAAGTCAAGCGCTGAAGAATTGATGCTTTTGAACTGTGGTGTTGGAGAAGACTCTTGAGAGTCCCTTGGACTGCAAGGAGATCCAACCAGTCCATCGTAAAGGAGGTCAGTCCTGGGTGTTCATTGGAAGGACAGATGTTGAAGCTGAAGCTCTAATCCTTTGGCCACCTGATGTGGAGTGTTGAATCATTTGAAAAGACCCTGATGCTGGGAAAGATTAAAGGCAGGAGGAGAAGGGGACGACAAAGGATGAGATGGTTGGATGGCATCACCGACTGGATGGGCATGAATTTGAGTATACTCCGGGAGTTGGTGATGGACAGGGAATGCTGTCCTGGCGTGCTGCAATACATGGGGTCACAAAGAGTCAGACACGACAGAGCAACTGAACTGAAGTGAAGACCTGGGAGTTTGGTTGGGTGAGGTCACACTGCCTCTGACTGGTCCCCACTGGGTCCCTTCCACTGGGTATTTGCATCCTCCGGGTGGGGCCACCAGCCCGCCCGTCCCACCCCCGGCTCCGTGGTCTCCCCCGTGAGTGTTCCCTCCTGCCCATCACGGCGCCCTATGCTTCTCCCCACAGGCGAATCACCAGGCGTGATCCCCGGGATCGTGGGTGCCGTCGTGGTGGCCTTGGGAGGAGCCATCTCCAGCTTCATCGCCTACCAGAAGAAGAAGCTGTGCTTCAAAGAGAACGGTGAGGCTCTCACCGCCACCTCCTTTCCGGGGGCGGGGGTCTGGCTACCATATATATATATAAAAAAAATCTAAAGCAGAAGCAGAGCTCTGGTTGGCATGAAACTCGGGAACGGTGGCTGAGGATTCCTAACATGGCTGGAAAACCGGGATCTGACTTTGCCGCTTCGATTTCGGCGCTTCCTGCATCTAGCCCTGTGAGCTTGTGCAAGTTACTAACCATGCCACTTTGGAAGGTTTTTAGGTAGCGAGGAGAGGCGATGGTCTGCGCTTTAGACTTTTGGTGACCATCAGTGAGGTTGTGTGTGTGAGTCTGGACAGGTTGCCTGGCAGAGAGTGTGGAAGGAACGTTATCTCTTAGGATGCATTCGCTGTTACTTAGATTTGCAGCCACCCTCATGCACTTTCTAGCCCCACCTGGTGGCTCAGTGATAAAGATCCCACCTGCAAGGCTGGAGACCTGGGTTTGATCCTTGGGTCGGGAAGATCCCCTGGAGAAGGGAATGGCAACGCACTCCACTATTCTTGCCTGGAGAATCCCATGGACAGAGGAGCCTGGCAGGCTCCAGTCGATGGGCTCGCAGAGAGTCAGACACGACTGAGCGACTCACACACCTCGTCTTCGTTAGGACAACAGCCATATTGTTTTCTTGACCCAAGGGAATTACAGTGGAAATACTGGGCAAGTGGTTCACTTTTTGCAGGAACCCAGTATCAGAAGGTACTCAAAACAGTGGACAGTTAGACAGCTTGTAGGGGGAATGTGGAGAATGCTACGTGGTGATTGGAACTCTGTCCCTGGGCATTTCGGCACTTGTCCTCAAGTCCTGTTAACTTGGGATTTGTGTTGACATCAGCGAACTCTGCTACTTTGAACACAACTGACCTATGTCCAGCGTCTCTGGAAGGCTCTTGTCTAGGTCTTGCTTTCAGAACCACTAGAGGAGCGGGTTGTGATATGGTTTGCGGGGGCCCCGTGGGCTGTGGCTACCCCTCTTCCTGGGAGGAGACTTGAGGTATTTGAATTTCTCATCCCGTGTGCAGTCCTGAGTCCTTACTCTGCCGTCTGCCAACTGATGTTGGGACTGCCTCAGGGCCTGCTTCCTGAGGGATCTTGGGAAATTCCCAAGGAGACTTGAGTTGATGCTGACGGAGGCAAAGTCACCCCCGAGGGTTGGAGTTTGACCCTTCGCCTTCCAGCATTCCAGAGATTCAGGTCCACAGACACGGTTTGTAGCCTGAAATTTACAGTCCGACATGGGCGTTTGGATGCGGAAATCTAAAATAAGCGGCTCTTTTTATAGCCCTCTGTTTGCCAGAGGAGGGGACGGGTTCCCTGATGGCATCTTATTTCCCATGCAGGAGTGGGCGCATTCCATCTGGCCCCTCTCAGGAAGGTGTGCTAGGCTGGCAGAAGGCTGAGCATCCAGAGGTGCCCAGATGCACAGATGACACGAGGTCCAGGAGATACTTGTAAAAGATCTACAATTAGAATTGAGGCGAGGCTGGAGGGGAACAGAAGCCAAATATATATATATATATATATATATATTTTTTTTTTTTTCTTTTGCTTCTCCTAGATCTAGCAGAAAGAACTTCAAAGAGTGAGGCTTCGATGGAAGTGGATCAGTGTTTCCTATTCTTTTTTGTTTTATTTGGCTGTACGAGGTCTTAGTTTGGCAAATGGAATCTAATTCCCTGGTCAGGGATGGAACCCGGGTGCCCTGAATTGGGAGGGCAGGGTCTTGGCCACGGGACCACCAGGCAAGTCCCAGTGTTTCTCTTTCAATTACATTTCCCCCTTGTCTGTAAGATGCTCAAACTCAGAGCCTGGTGCTCAAGCCTGGAGACGAGGAAGGCGCTCAATAGGAGAGTGAGCACCGGGGTACCGGGCCCAGGATTTTCTGAAAAAGTGGAATGTGTGTGAGCGATTAGCGCACACACATTCTCATATAAACACCAGAGTCGAATGCAGAGCCGTGAGCATGTTTCTGACTCAGTGGGTAAGATGCTCAGCTTTGAAGACAGGCCTCACAGCACGAGATTAGTGTCTGTTGTCAAGTTACATGTTTTGATGAGCGGAGGTGGTATGGAAGCGTCGAAACCTTGTCCATCGGGTGTGGAAAGACCCCAGGGAACCCTTATTTGGCGTCCTCTGGACACGGGGGCCGTTCTGCGAGAGTTTTCTTCTCTGGGGTATTCCCTGTGAGACGTGCGGAACCCACGTGGAGCTGTGAGTCTGTGGAGTACCGGTTTCAGAAAGAGGTGGCCACGGCGGGCCCTGGTGTGTGGCTGTTTCGTTGCTGGACGTGGTGGGTGGCTGATGGCTTGCTTGCTCACAGCACGTCTCCTGGCTGCTCCCTTGGTGCCCCCCTGGTGGCAGCGGATCCTGGAGGCTTGGGTGACAGTGAGCCATGAGCACGTGCCCTCCCTTGCTCCCCGATTTTCCTGGCCTCTGTCTGCCTCCCTCCTGATCCATCCTTTCTTCTTTCTCTTCCTTCCTTTCTGCCTCTCCCTTTCTTCCCTTCTCTTGGTCTTCCTTCTTCTTTCTTTCTTTTCCTGCCTCCCCTCCCCCTCCCCCACCACCCCCCTCCCCCCACCACCCACCTCCCCGTTTTCCCCCCACAGCATCCACTCCGGTGATGCTCTTGCCGTGTCAACCCGTCTCCTTAACTTCTGAGCCCAAGAGACGGACGTATCTCGTAACAGCTTGCCGCTGCCTGCACCCGTGGGCTCTCGCATCCGAAGCCAAAGCTCTGAGACGTTTATTTCTGGTTGATCTTGGTTTTCTTTTTCTTTCCTTTTCATGGTCCTTCTCTGCCCTTCCTTTGCAGATGAGTCGAAGATCTAAGGGGGGATGCGCCGAGAACCCTGGGCGGGAGCGCAGAGATGATCCTTTCTGATCTGCGCCTGTCTCGAAAAGCAAACCTTGTTGTCTGTCTTTTTTTTTTTTTTTTTCACCTTGGCACTAAGACGTTTCCCCAGGGATGTTTCTCCCTGACCCCGCAGGCTGTACTGTGAATTCTGTTATGTTTTCTGCCTCGTCGAAGCACAAAAGCTTGGGATGCTATATTCGAAGGCGCAGTTTGCCTTGAGAGAAGTGAAGACAAATGCAGATGCATCCCTTTTAAATTGGAATCCGACACGCACAAATGGGGCTGGGGGCTTCCGTGAACAAAGCAGCTTTGTCAACCACCCTGCATCCTTGCCCGTTGGGTGGGCCATCTTGTCTGCAGAGACCCACCCCTTCCCGATCCCGGGTCAAAGCCAGCCCTCAGCCGTAGGATATCACCTTTCACACTTAATGATGGAATTTGTAACCTTCTGACTCCATCGCTCCTGGATTTTTACAGCCCATTTCCAGGAAGTCTTTTTTTTTTTTCCTAACTCTTTATCTAATTGATTTTTGCCAATGACGTGAATTTCACAGTTCTCTGCGGAAAAGGAGAACCCACATGTTTAGGAATAATCTGAAAATCTCACCATCATCAGTTGCTTTTTTAAAAAATTATTTTCAATTGGAAGGTAATTGCTTCACACTGAGATGTTAGGTTCTGCTCACAGCAGCGTGAATCAGCCATATGTCTACATATATCACCTCCGTCCTGAGCCTCCCTCACACCCTCGCTTTAACCTCCTTCCCCACCCCGACTTCAGATTTCTGAAATGTCAGTGCGGAAGTCGACGACAGGCGGGGTCTGTGACCGCCTAGAATTCATGCCTGCTCACATCTCTCCATCAACACGGAAGTCAACGCCGGATCTTTCTTTCCCTTTTTTTGTATCAGACCACCTCCTTCTTGCGTGCAAACACAAGTTTTCATTTTCCAGCCTCGTGCTGAATGAGGGTCAGGGTGGGGTCCCTTCCCAGGGTGGTACAGCCGGTACTGGTCTGGAGGCTGAGTCGCAGGATTTGGGGTTAGTATCGGGAGGTGGGCCTGTCACCCTCCACCGTTCACCCTGATAGCCTTGACCCCGGTCACTTCTGCGCCCGTCTGTGTCTTTGAAGGGAGTGTTCCCGGTTTTGATGAAATAAAGCCTGCGTCCCAGTTAGCGTGAGTGCATGCTCTGTGATTGCATCGTGTCCCACTCTTTGTGACCCCGTGGACTGCAGCCCGCCAGGCTCCTCTGTCCATGGGATTCTCCAGGCAAGAACGCTGGAGCGGGTTTCCATGTCCTCCTCCTCCAGGGGATCGTCGTGACCCTGGGATCAAAGCACATCCCCTGCACTGCCTTCCACTTTTAAACAAGCTCTATTGTTATTATTTTGATTCACTTTCTTCCACCTTAACTTTTTTTTTTTAATTTATTTTTAGCTGGAGGATAATTGCCTTGCAATAAATATTGTGTAGCTCTCTGCCGTACATCAACAAGGGCTGCCCTGGTGCCTCAGCTGGTGAAGAATCCGCCTGCAATGCAGGAGACCTGGGTTCCATCTCTGGGTTGGGAAGATCCCCCTGGAGAAGGGAAAGGGTGCCCACTGCAGCATTCTGGCCTGCAGAATTCCGTGGACTGTATGGTCCGCGGGGTCGCAAAGAGTCGGAGACGACTGAGCAACTTTCACATACGTTGACCTGAATCAGCCATAGGTGTACACATGTCCCCTCCGTCTGGACCCTCCCTCCCATCTCCCACCCCGCCCCACCCCGTAGGTGGTCACAGAGCCCTGGTTTGAGCTCCCCGAGTCACACAGAAAATCCCCACTTGCTATCTGTTTTACATGTGGCGGTGAATATGTTCCCATGTTACTGTGTCCATTCTCCTTCCCTCACCACGTCCATGAGTCTCTTCTCTACCTCACCACGTCCATGAGTCTCTTCTCTATGTCTGCGTTTCCACTGCTGCCCTGCAAATAGGTTGACCAGTTCCATCTTTCTAGAACCCATATATATGCATTAATGGGCTGCCCTGGTGTCTCAGTTGGTAAAGAATCCGCCTGCAGTGCGGGAGACCTGGGTTCCATCCCTGGGTCCGGTAGATCCCCCTGGAGAAGGACATGGCAACCCACTGCAGTATTCTTGCCTGGAGAATGTCATGGACCAGAGCAGCCTGGTGGGCTACAGTCTATAGGGTCGCGAGGAGTCGGACTCGACTGAGCGAGTAACTCTGTATGTGTTAATATACGATAGTGACCTGGCTCTTTCTGACTCACTTCACTCTATATGGCAGGTTCACCCACCTCACTCGAACCGACGCAGATGCGAATAAACGCGTTTTGACTGGGAATCTCTCGTGTGTTTTTTTGTTTGCTTTGCGTTCTATCGAAGTGTTGATGGGGAACATCACGCGTTTTTTTTTTATTGCTTTGCTTTTATTGAAGCGTCGTTGATTTATAGTGTTGTGTTGGTTTCTGCCCTGCTGCAAAGTGACTCGGTCATCTGTTCGTTCCTCTATTATATTTTATTTTTTGGTGCTGCCTTATCCCACGATATCCAATAGATGCCCCCTGGGCTCATAGTAGGACCTTGTTGTTCATGCATCCTGTATATGAGAGTTGGCATCTGCTGACCCCAAACTCCCAGGCCATCCCTTCTCCACACCCTCTCCCTCTCCTGTATTTTGAAATCTGTCTCCTCACACTTGAATTCTGAGCAAAGGATCCTAATCCCAGATCCTTTCTGGGGACGGTTGGGGTGGGTGGCGGTATGTTGATCCTCTTGGTGTCAGTGTGTGTTTGAGAAATCGAGGAATAGAAGTTTGGAAATAAAAAGACGGAGTCGGAAATGCAAAGAAGCGAAGAGACAGGACCCCAGCGAGGGGCACTTCACGCCCTGATGACCGGGGTGCTTCCTCTGCTTTCCGGGAGGGGCTGGGGAGGAAGCTGAGTGGGGCGATGACGATTCACGCTGAGAATGGTGAAGGGGTGTGTTGTCTTTGTATTCACCTCCGCCCGTCCCCGCCTCTGGCGCGGTTTTGTTCTTGCTTTCAGCCGAAGAAGGCGAGGTCAACATGGAGAACCATCGCACCAACGCTGAGCCAGCAGGTGAGATAGGGTGGGCCGGTCACCCCCCCATCATCGCCAGCTGTCACCCCCAGCTGCATCCCCACTGTGGCTATTTCACCTCCCCCCATCGCTGCCCTACCCTCCCACTCACATGGAGGTGGGAGGGCCTGGACATGCCTTGGAAAAGAGAAGAGAAGCATCTGTTCTTGTGTGCTTGTTCTCTGCAGTTCAACAGACTCTTCTGGAGAAATAAAGACGTTTGGCAGCCAAGCAACTCGCAGCGGGATTGCAAGCTTGCCTGCTGAGCTTCTCCAGAGACGACCTGCCGGGACCTCGCCCCGGCTCGTCCGTGCCTTCGCTCAAATTGGATGCCGCGTTTTAACGCTGGGATGCCGCGTTTTAACGCTGGGATGCCTTACTCCCCACCCCCGCCTCCACCACATCCCTCTCCGCCATGCTGGGCGGGTGAAACTGACTTGTGGTGAGTCTTCCATCCACGGGGCTGGGGGGGGGGGGGAGATCACACTCACCTTCTCCACGACCCTGTGGGGGTTTACCCGTGAGCGCAGGGAACATCCGACCGACCGACTGATCGCCAAGTCCCAGCCAAGTCTCCAGGTTCCCAGCCATTGTCGTTCGAACGCCACCAAGGTTCCCCACAAGGAAACTCTGGACCATTTACAAACGGCCTGCAAATGGAATGCTTCTGAAACCTCTCCTGACCGTTGACTCTTTAACAGAGTGGGCGTTAAGCCTCAAGGGAGTTTCCTCAAAGGTTCTTTCATTTCTCATGAAGTTTTTTTTTTCAAACCAGTTTAATAAAAAGAAATTTAGAAATCAAGTCCTATTTACGTAAATGTCTTGCCGGGAGGTGCCTTTTAAAGAAGGCCGTTGGGAACGTCGTGAAACTAGTGACGTGGGCTCCCAGTTCCCTTTTCTGTAAGAGAGAAGTCACCCTAAGCACTAGCTCTTCATTTCTGGCATTCGCTTTTATCTGTTCCTTCCCTTCTTTGCTCACATTGGTGGTGGTGCTCACATTGGTGGTGGTGCTTTCCTTCCTAAGCCTTGGCAGACTCTTTGCAACACCGGGGGCTGTAGCCCACCAGGCTTCTCTGGCCATGGGATTCACAGGCAAGGATACCGGAGTGGGTTGCCGTTTCCTTCTCCAGTTGATGACATTGTGGGGAAATATTTGTTAGCAGCCCTTCTCCCCTGCAATCAGATTCTTTCCTGTATCTTCCATAGGTAAATTCCAGGAATTTGTTTGTTATGATGTTTATGACACATTTATCAGCTTCCACAGGAGAGCTCGGTTTAACTTGGGGGCCACACTGTTTTGTGAGAGACAGTCTCTTATATTTTCTAACATCTTAGAATGTGGACTGAATGCTTGCTCTTCTCTAGGCTATCAGCGATCATTTCTCCACCTTTGAAAGCAGTACCTCCACTCACAACAATGTATACGCCGCATGACTTGCAAAATGCATGCTTTTATGTGTTGAATTGGCCAAAACGTTCGTTTGGTTTTAAGTAAAAATAAAAGACACGTTGTTCGTTTTCAGCCTGTTCGTTTCAGCTGTAGTGACCAACATGTTCATTGAACGAACCTTTTGGCCAACCCCGTACAAGCTCCTTGCTTGGTTTTCTGTTTATCTCGGAAAGCGTGGAAGCCTTGATGTTGCAGAAGGGCTGGACCCCACCCACAGACTTCCCTCTCCAGAAATAAGAGGTTGTTTCCCTAATTTTCTCGTAGCACGCGCCTGCTTGCGTAAAGCTCTGAGGGTAGTTTTCCGGAGAATCCGCATTTACCCGAGTGAAGACTTAATCTCATTACTGATGATGGTGTGAAGAACTGTTGTGTGCCTCAATCAGTCACTGTGGATGCAAACGGATGTTGTCAGCACACCTGTGTGGGCTGCCCTCACAAACCACCCGACCTGGGAAGGGGCGGGTATCAAGGTATTGCCTAGTCACTCCGTTGTGTCCCGACTCTTTGCGACCCCACAGACTTGTAGCCCCACCAGGGTCGTCAGTCCATGAGATTCTCCAGGCAACAATCCTGGAGTGGGTTGTCATTTCCTCCTCCATCAAAAAGTTCCTTTCGGCTTTTCTGAAACATCTCATGAAAAGCTCAGAATCGACTTTTTTTGGCCAACCCCATATCGGTCATGAATTCCAGGTCTTTCCTGCCCGGAAGCTCAGACACTCTTGTCAGTTGTTTTGTGGGGCGGTTTGCAACGGAGCCATCCCCCTGCTGTTGAAGGCTCAACCCCCGTCTCTCCACGACCCCTCCTCCCATCGTTGTTGAAAAGCACTGGGAGTTTCCTTCTCAAGGTATTCCTGGAGACCACCATCTGTCTATTGAACTTGCTCTGTCTTTGACACTATGATAGTTTTTGCATATATGAAATGATTTTTAAAAATGAAGATTGAGTATTTATCATATCCATTCATTGCTTCATATGATGAATGCCTGTGACCCAGGTGTGTGCAGGGATGGATGTGACATCTGGGTTCTACAGGACTGAACACAAATGTCTTCAGTCAATGGAAGGGGTCGACCAGTTGTCAAGAGCTGAGCGCGGGATTAATCAATATGCTTGTGTCCTCTTGCTGACTAGCTCAGGTCACCCGGTTACAAGGCTAGCAGAGAGTGTCCACATTCACCCCCGATGAGTCCTCAGAGTCTGTGCTGTGACTTTGCTTTATAAAAAGAAAAAAAAATGTGTAAAGTCTTTTTGTAACTCTGTGAATAATGTCGACATTTTATAAGCATCACAGTCATACCGTAAGCATAAATGTCTCTTTAAACAACAGAATAGTGAGGGGGTTAAGTAGAGGAAACTGTGACTCATTCCTGAATCTATACATGAAAGAAAGAAGTCAACTGGGCTTTTCTTATGGACAGTGTATGTACATGGTTGTAGACTCAGCTCAATTTCTTGTTGGCATTAAAATGAATAGGACTTTATCAAAGGTGGGGCCTTTGGAAAAATTGAGTTTAAATTGCATGGTTTGATGAGTAAATGCTTGACAGGCTGATTGCTTTTAAAAATCATTTTGGAACTCCTGTTTAAAGAAATCACACTCCAACAGGTCTTGAAATCAACGTCAAGTTTTTATTTTAAGTGAGAATATACCAGCAGAGGGTTTGTTACAAGTCTTGGTCATAATGGATTTGATCAACCCATGTAAACTGTGGTCAAGTTTTTGCTGTGAGATGCTGCAGTGAATAGCTTTGGAAGCATGGTTTTGTGGCTCCATGCAAGTGCAATGTGTGTGTTGCATCAATGCCTGAAGCTGGCTTTGCGAGCGGGAAAAATAAAAGCATGTGTATATTTAATTTTTATGGACATTGCCCAAACACCCCCTATCGAGCTTGTGCAAATTCACGATACACCACAATGATGTCAGATTTGTCTCCTCACTGCTGAGCAAACTTTCTGATCGGTGCCAATCTCTGAGTTGAAGAATGATATCCCATCAACTGTGTTTATGTTGCCTCTGTCCTAACACAAGTGAGATTGAGAATCTGTGTGTGGGAGACCCATTGCCATTCTGTTTTTGAAGGAAATGAATATGCTGTTGGCCTGTATGTGTTACTAGTCGTTTTCTTATTGATTTGTAGGAACTCTTCACATATTAAAGATATGACTTGACATAAGTAGCAAATGTGCTTTTTCACTTTATGCTCCACCTTTTAACTCTGAAGTCCTATTTTTCGCCCTTCACATTTGTTATTTTTGTGTAGTGAACTTAGTGAGCGGTTTCTGGGCTTGTTTTCATACCTAGAAAAGCATCAGCCATGTGGATATTAGGGCTTCCCAGGCGGTGCTAGTGGTAAAGAACCCATTTGCCGATGCAGGAGACATAAGAGACCTGGGTTCCATCCCTGGGTCAGGAAGACCCCCTGAGGAGGGCATGGCAGCCCACTCCAGGATTCTTGCCTGGAGAATCCCACGGACAGAGGAGCCTGGTGGGCTACAGTCCACAGGGTCACAAAGAGTTGGGCATGAGTGAAGTGACTTAGCATGCACACATACTGATATTATTTAAAAAACAAAGCAAAAAATCTGCTCGTGATGTCTTGTAAAATTTTTTGGTCTTTTTTTAATTAAAACGTAATTTGAGTAGACTATTTTATCCCCTGGGAATGCATTTTTATCACGATAATGAGGAACAGATTTCTTGACATGTAGTTGTGTTTTTTTTTCCAAACCATCTTGGGAAAATCCCACTATTTGCAAACCATTTATTGTCCCACGGATCTGAAATGCAATTTACAGCATCCACTAAATTCCTGGACATTCCAGGGGAGGAATGATTTTTTTTTTTTAATTTGTTCCTCTCTTCAATCCTTTAGAGAAAAAGATTGGTAACACCCGCTTGAAAACATAAAATAGCTCTAACTGCACCTTGCAGGGAGTCAGGCATAGTGGAACCAGTAGTAGCTATTTTTGCACCGATTTCCCACCCAGGAAAGCCACCAGCTTCGATGGTTAAGAGCCTGCCCGCAGTGCAGAAGACCTGGGTTCGATCCCTGGGTGGGGAAGATCCCCTGGAGAAGGGAATGGCAACCCACTCCAGTGTTCCTGCGTGGAGTATCCCACGGACAGAGGAGCCTGGCAGGCTACAGTCCACGGGGTCACAGAGAGTCAGACACGACTGAGCGACTCGCACCTCCATCCTCGAGGATTTCCGACAAGTCCTGTCTCAGCTCAACGCTTTCCCCTCCCGCCGCCCACACCAGAGAACCGATCCCTGCACCCGACATTCTCTTGCTCGGGAGAGTCCCCAGGAACGGGTGGATGTGCCCTTGTGCGCTCACGGTCCGACTCAGCTCTGGACTGAGGCAGGCCTTCTCAGGGGCCAAGGGCCACCTGCTGCTGAGGTTCCTGCTGTCATCAAGTGCCCCCCTAGGCCCGTGTCCATCCCTGGGACCCACCTCCCAGGCATGCCCCGAGCTCTAGGTGCAGCAAGTTAATCTGGAGATGCTCCCCCTGCCGACGTCACACCCTCGGCTCCTGGGAGCGCCCCAACGCACCCCGTTTCCACCCGCAGGCTTCCGAGTACAGGTCTCGGGGATGCTACCACGTCAAGAAGTCCCCCAACCTCCTGGCATTCCCAGCACCCTCCCCCTTAACCCAGAATATCTTTCCCATCTGAGACCCAGCATGTCCTCCGGGTCAACTGGGAGGGGGCTTGCAGCAGACACATTTGGGTTTTGTTTTTTTTTTTTAATTCCACCTGCTATCTCTCCTTCCGGCCCACTTCATGGGGCCCAGCGCTGCTCTGCACCTCCCTCGGTGGATGTGGGTCCTCCCCAGACATCCTCGGGGTGGGACGGTGGTGGGTAGGAGCGTGGGGGGGATCCTCCCTCCCACGTGGTGTGCTGGCGAGCTGCATCCTCAAAGCCAGAGCGGGCTCATTGGTCTCCGGTCTGAAGGCTTTCTCGGCATCAGGCAAGCAGGGCCTCTGTCTGATTCGAAGGGAATTCTTCTGATGCCTGGAGGATGCTCCAGGCAAGGAGACTGGAGTGGGTGGCCATGCCCTCCTCCAGGGGAAAACGTCCCCACCCAGGGATCGAACCCACGTCTCTTGTATGTTTCCTGCATTCCCAGGCGGGTGGCTCAGAGGGGAAAGAGTCTGCCTACAAGGCGGGAGACCTCGGTTCAACCCCTGGGTCAGGAAGATCCCCTGGAGAAGGAAATGGCAACCCACTCCAGTAGGCTTGCTTGGAAAAATCCCATGGAGAGAGGAGCCTGGCAGGCTACAGTCCACAGGGTCGCAAAGAGTTGGACACGACGGAGCGACTTCACTTCACTTCCACCTGGGAAGCCGGGCGGGATAGGGGAGCTCATTCTTTTCCAAATCACATCTGAGACCCACTGAGTCGGTCTTCCAAGGCAACAAAACACAGTGACGGCCGTGTTCATCTCACCTGATACCCACGCTTTGACTTGAAAATCCTCAAAATTCTCTGCCTCTCCATGACCACCGGACTGCCCGGCTTTGTGCTCCTAGAGTCGCTCTCAAAGAGAATGCATTCTTTTTTTTTTCTCCCTGCAGGTCAGTGACAAGTTCCTAATGTAGACACAGGGAACTACGTTCAGTAAAATAATGTAGGATGGGAAAGGATCTCGTTAAGAATATACATATACGTGTATAGCCGAAGCACTTTGCTGCATGCCTGAAACTAACATCGCATTGTCAACCAAATTTACTTCTATTGAAAAAAAGAACGGATTTGCTCCCATCTATAAGCACCTCCAAGGCTCACAGTGGGTTTTGTTGTCCTTTAGTAGCTCAGTCACCTGATGCGAAGAGCTGACTCACTGGAAAAGACCCTGATGCCGGGAGGGATTGGGGGCAGGAGGAGAAGGGGACGACAGAGGATGAGATGGCCGGATGGCATCACCCACTCGATGGAGATGAGTTTGGGTAAAACCCCGGGAGTTGGTGATGGACAAGGAGGCCTGGCGCGCTGCGATCCACGGGGTCACAAAGAGTCGGACATGACTGAGCGACTGAACTGAACTGAACTGAGTAGCCCGGTCGTGTCCGACTCTCTGCGGCCCCGTGAACTGCAGCCCACCAGGGTCCTCTGTCCAGGGGATTCTCCAGGCGAGAGTACTGGAGTGGGTCGCCATGTTCTCCTCCAGGGGATCTTCCTGACCCAGGGATGGAACCCGCGTCTCCTGCATTGGCAGGTGCGTTCTTTACCACTAGTCAGGTGACAGAGCAGGAGGACCAAGTGAAATTGGGTTGTCTGGCCCCCACCATCCCCACCACTGACCCTAACGATAAGTGAGATTCAGGGGTGCAGTGTGACTCTCTAGAGGCACAGGGTCGGCAAGTTGCCAAAAAAAAAAAAAAACAAAAAACCCAGAGATTAAATGTGGACTTCCCTGGTGTCTCAGATGGTAAAGAATCCGCCTGCGGTCCGGGAAACCTGGGTTCGAGTCCCAGACTGGGAAGACCCCCTGGAGCAGGGCATGGCGACCCACTCCAGTATCCTTGCCTGGAGAATCCCCACGGACAGAGGAGCCTGGCAGGCTACCGTCGGACACGGCTGGGCGGCTGAGACGCACGTGTCAGTCTCTGGGCTGCTCTGGGCTCCGGGTCTGGCGTCGCCCGGCACGAGGGTCTTGGGAATGACACCACCCGCCTCCTCCGCCGCGGCGAGGCAGCTCTTGCTTACGCCCAAGCGTGGCACCTTTGATCCTGGGGCTCTTCCCACGCATGCCGGGCGCAGAGCTGCCGAGCAGCTGTGCCAGCTCCTCTACACCCCAGGACGCCCATTGGCAGCGGGCGGTCGCCTATTTCCCCACCTTCCTGGGGGTGGTTGGCCCAGCACAGCCGAGGGAGGTGCCTTCCCTGCAGTGGGCGTGTAGGAGCTGGTCCCCGCGGGCGGGCTCCAGGCTGGGGAGTCCAGTACCGCCCTGCTCATCACTCGCCAGCAGGAGGCTGTAGACTGGTTCCTCCTTTTTTTAATTTTCCTTTCCCGTTTCCCTCCGAGGACGGCAGGAATCAGCACAGCATCACCCGTCGAGGGTGGGCTGGCCGCAGCCCACCCGCCAGCCAGCCGGAGACCGAGGATGGAGGCGCGGCAGAGTCTCTTGTGTCTCACCTTCCTCTGCTTTCTGCTGCACGTCCGAGGTAAGGGAGGGCTGGCTCCCGGAGAAAGAGGTGCCTGGGTGTGCCTTTCTATCTGCTTGCTGGAAAAAAATAAACACTCCGTCCCAAGCCACTTCCTCTCAGGAAATGGCTGTAAACGGCCAGAGTGGAGAAAGCAAAAGCGGACCCCGGTCTGATGGCGGTGAGCAGCGAACAAGGGGATCGGGTACCACGTTGGGGGGTGTCCGGGGCAATGGACCCAGATCTGTAGGCTGGGGACGCCCTTAGGAGCGACGGAGCTGTGGTTTTTGTTTTCTCTTTGCTTCTCGGGTTTTGATCTCTGGGTGTGGCACGCGTGGAAAAAGCGACCGTGTCCCTGGGGCGGGTTGAGACTTTTGTACGTCCTCGCTTTCTATCAACAGCCTTGTGTAGTTCTGTAGGGAGGCCACGGAGCTGGGACGCGGCTGGGTTCAGCGGGAAGGGCCCCTGTCGCCAGAGACGGGATTTTTCAGGAAGGACAGCCTCGGTTCACATTGTTTCAGATATTTTTTTTCCTCGATGTCAGCCCTCCGCTTGGCAAATTAAAAACATGTGAGTTGTTTACGGCCGAAACTCCAATAATGGGCTATTCCCCATCTTGGCGTGTTGCGGAACAGAGGCAGGGAGGGACCTCGCTCAGGAAACTATAATTAACCCACGAAGGGCAGGATTTAATAGCAACTGGAGATGCATGTTTGGTCCTTTGGATATTCAAATTCTAAGGCATTGAGGATTGGGAGGCGCTTAAGAGTGACATATGTTGTAGGTTAGGAATTGAAAGATTTTCTTTCAGTGTCGCTCATAGCTGTTCGGTCGCTCAGTCGTGTCTGACTCTTTTTTGACCCCGTGGACCGCAGCACGCCAGGCCTCCCTGTCCATCACCAACTCCCGGAGCTCGCTCAAACTCATGTCCATCGAGTTGGTGATGCCATCCAACCATCTCATCCTCTGTCGTCCCCTTCTCCTCCCACCTTCTATCTTTCCCAGCATCAGGGTCTTTTCAAATGAGTCAGTTCTTCGTCAGGTGGCCAAAGGATTGGAGCTTCAGCTTCAGCATCAGTTCTTCCAGTGAATATTCAGGACTGAGTTCCTTTAGGACGGACTGGCTGGATCTCCTTGCTGCCCAAGGGACTCTCGAGAGTCTTCTCCAACATCACCTTCCAAAAGCATCAATTCTTCGGCTATCAGCCTTCTTTACGGTCCGACTCTCCCATCCGTACATAACTAGCTTAGGAGTGAAAAGATTTTGTTTGGACGTCACTCCTGTGGCACGTCCTGTTTGACCTGTTTGAGGATGGGTATTTAGGAACAGGTGTGGTTTTGTGAGCCATCCTGGCACCCAGAGTCCAGGGTCTTCCCAGAGACCCTTCCACGAATCCACACGGTCTGAGCATCTTCCCGCACCTGGGACTCGCAAAAACGTGGTCAGGAGCTTCTGTTTGCGGGGAGATGTGAGTTCTCTGAACCAACACCAGGGTTAAAGGCAGCACATTGAGGCCAAGCTCTGTCTTTACGCAGTCCCGCCCAGCAGCCAAGCCAGCAAAACCTGTCTGAGCATTTATTCCCTCGGCAGTGACACAGAACTCTGGGCTCACCTGCTGCTACAGGCAACTCAGCCTCCTGCCAGGCCCAGTCGGTCCGATCCCTCGGGGGTCACTGGATGGCTGATGCCTTCAGCTCGTCTCGTGACTCAGTGGTTAGAATTCCGGGCTTTCAATGCCACGGCCCAGGGTTCAATCTCTGGTCAGGGAACCGAGATCTTCAACCTGTGCAGCGTGGCCAAAGATGAATGAAGGCACCACCCCAATTGCAGCGGTTCAAGAGCTTCATTAGGTAGATGTGTGGGCGCTGGAGTGACTGTGGTTCTCATTGTTCAATTGTGTCTGACTTCTTCAGAGTCTGTGGACTGCCGCACACCAGGCTTCCCTGTCCATCACCATCTCCCGTAGCTTGCTCAAATTCATGTCCACCAAGTCAGTGGTGTCATCTGACCATCTCATCCTCTGTCATCCCCTTCTCCTCCCGCCTTCCATCTTTCCCAGCATCATGGGTCTTTTCCAATGAGTCGGCTCTTCCCATCAGGTGGCCAAAGGATTGGAGTTTCAGCTTCAGCATCAGTCCTTCCCATGAAAATTCAGGGTTCATTTCCTTTAGGATGGACTGGCTGGATCTCCTTGCAGTCCAAGGGACTCTCAGGAGTCTTCTCCAGCACCACAGTTCAAAAGCATCAGTTCATCTGGGCTCAGCCTTCTTTACAGTCCAGCCCTCACATCCGTACGTGACTACTGGGGAAACCGTTAATGGGGCAGCTGCATTTTGGGAAACATCCTCATGCTCATAGAGTCAGGATTCCCCTTGACAGGTGACGTCTGAGCCCCCAGCCATCTGGTTAACCGCTGGGTTGAGCCTCAAGCGTCTCTGCTACAGGGGAATGTCTGCTCTGTGGTTCCCGTAGCATTGACGCGTCTCTCACCCAGGAGGTGCAGAAATCACACCCCCAAGTGTCGCTTCACGCAGCCAGCCATGCTCAGCCACGGGTGATGTTGCCCCCTGGGGACACTTGGCACCGTCTGGAGTCATTTTTGGTGGTCAACACTGGGAGGGCACTGCTATCATCAGATGGGCCAGGGCCTTGGGCTGCCCTCATAGCTCAGTCGGTAAAGAATCGGCCTGCAATGCAGGAGACCCCGGTTCGATTCCTGTGTTGGAAAGATCCGCTGGAGAAGGGATGGGCTACCCACTCCAGTATTCTTGGGCTTCCCTGGCAGCTCAGCTGGTAAAGAATCCACCTGCAAGGCAGGAGACCTGGGTTTGATCCCTGGGTTGGGAAGATCCCCTGGAGAAGGGAAAGGCTACCCACTCCAGTATTCTGTCCTGGAGAATTCTATGGACTGTTATAGTCCACGGGGCCGCAAAGAGTCGGACACGACTGAGCGACTTTCACTTTTCCAGGGATGCGGCTGAATGTTTTCTGATCCACAGGATGCCCCGCAGAGCAGGCTGTCCTGTCTGTCATCCAGGTTCAAGTGTCGACACTGCTGAGGTTGAGAACTCCTGCCTGAGCACCAGAGGCGCCATCTCCCTGTGTACCTGTCGTATCTATCCATGTGTCTGTCAGTGCATTTGTCAGTTTATCAGTGTATCTATCAGTGTATCTATCATCTATGTTTACATATCCTATCTTCTATTGCTCTATATAATTATTATCAATCCTATACCTATTTTTCTAACATCTAACTATATCTCTCATCTGCCTTTCTAAATATCATCTATTCCTTGTGATCCATGTATCTAATTATCATTGATTATCCATCTAATGTATCTATCATCTATTTTTATATATCCTATCTTCTATTTCTCTCTATAATTATCAGTCCTATATCTATTTTTCTAACATCTAACTATATCTCTCATCTGTCTTTCTAATTACCATCTATTCCCTGTGATCCATGTATCTAATTATCATTGACTGTCTGCCCATCTGTTGCATGCTAAGTTGCTCAGTTGTGTCTGACTCTTTGAGACTTTTTGAGACTCTTTGAGACTATGGGCTATGGACCATAGCCCACGAGACTCCTCTGTCAATGTGATTCTCCAGGCAAAAAGACTGAAGTGGGGAGCCATTCCCTTTTCCCAGGCAAGTTTTATCTTGAAAATCCCTCTGGGACTTCCCTGGTGGTCCAGTGGGCTAAGACTCTGCGCTCCCAATGCAGGGGGCCCAGGTTCCATCCCAGGTCAGGTAACTAGATCCCTAACTAACATAGCTGTTTATGGCACAGCCATAAATAAAAATATATACGTATATATATATAAATCCGTCCTAAATAGCTCTTTTCGGAGGGTAAGGGGGTTTGGGGTTTGACGCTAAGACCTCCCACCCACCAGCCTGAGTCCTTTTCAACCCAGGTTCCCAGGAGGTCAGCCATGGTGACCCACGTGGTGAGCCCAGAACACATGTGGGTTTGATTAGAAACTGCCGGGCCTGCTAAAGGAAGAAGATGTGAAACAGATCTCGAGTTCCAAGCCCCGTCCTTAGGCTCTGAGGGGAAAAACAAAGCTGGTGGAAATAACTGCTCCAGGGAGTGGCGTCTCCCACACCCCATCTTCCCCGACACTGAGCCCCTGAATCAACATCTTCGGAGTGATGTGAACGTCGGGGGCGGGGGCAGGACTAGACAGTGATGGGGGCGGGGCTATATCGTGACTGGGCGGGGCTATATCGTGACCGGGCGGGGCTATACCATGATGGGGCGGGGCTACAAAGTACTGGAGCCGGACTAGCACGTTGCGGGGACAGAGCTAGACCATGGCAGGGGCGGGGCTACAACATGTCGGGGGCGGGGCTAGACAGTGACAGGGTGGGGCTAGACCGTGGACAGACGGTAATGGGGGCGGTGCTAGAACGTGACGGGGTGGGACTAGTATGTGGGGGCGGGGCTAGACCGTGAAGGGGCAGGACTAGACAGTGACCGGGCTTGGCTAGACCTCCATACAAGCGGCAGCGGGCGGGGGAGGTAGGATGTTGGCTGCAGCCCCTCTGGAGACCAGAGGGAGGCTGTTAGACTCCAGCCAGGCCTGCAGGACACGATCGGCTCCACGCCAAGGGGGCGGGGGGCCCTGGGTGGAATTCGCCTGGTCTGTGAGTCACGCTCTGGGCTCTGCAAAGAGTGCCACACCCGTGACAACCAGGGGCCGCCTCCCCCGTGACCTCGAGTCACCGTCAGATGTTATTCAGTCGCTCAGTCGTGTCCGACGCTCTGCGACCCCGTGGACCGCAGCACGCCAGGCCTCCCTGCACATCACTCACTCCTGGAGCTTGCTCTAACTCATGTCCATCTAGTCGGTGATGCCATCCAACCATCTCATCCTCTGTCGTACCCTTCTCCTGCCCTCAATCTTTCCCAGCATCAGGGTCTTTTCCAATGAGTCAGTTCTACGCATCAGGTGGCCAAAGTATTGGAGCTTCAGCATCAGTCCTTCCAATGAATGTTCAGGACTGGTTTCTTTTAGGATGGACTGGTTGGATCTTCTTGCAGTCCAAGGGACTCTCAGGAGTCTTCTCCAGCACCACAGTCCAAAAGCATCGGTTTTTCGGCACTCAGCGTTGTTTATAATGAGAAGCATCTGCAAAGGGAAGGAGGTCGCTGGAATGACAAGTGGACACGGAATGGGGTGGGGGCAGTTTGTTTGTTTCCAGAGCCAGAGGGAGGGGGGACACACTCTGGCTCCCTGCCGCAAGCAGCCTGGCTCTGGAGGCTTCTAGCCCCCAGAGGCAGCCAGATGTCCTTTTTGGAAAACACCCAGGTTCTGCCTAGTCTGTTGTGAAATGGATTAGGGAGAGACCAGGACGAGATAAGTAGCAGAGGCTCAGAACAGGGAGTGGCTGGACGCTCCGGTTTGAGAAGATTGTTGAGGGGTTTGCCTGGAGCTTCAGGGATAAGCCTGGTGAGAGATGCTTGTAAGCTGTCAGGAGCTGATTGCATGGCCTTCCCTGGTGGCTCAGATGGTAAAGAGTCTGCCTGTGAGGCAGGAGACCTGGGTTTGATCCCTGGGTCTGGAAGATCCCCTGGGGAAGGGAATGACCACCCACTCCAGTGTTCTTGCCTGGAGAATCCCCATGGACAGAGGAGCCTGGCGGGCTACAGTCCAAGGGGTTGTAAAGAGTCAGACACAACTGAAGGACTAACCCTTTCACTTCAATAACCTATAATCGAACAGTGTGTGAAAAAAGAATAGATACGTGTATATGTACAGAAAAGTAATTTATAGATGTGTATAACTGAATCAGTTTGCTGTATAGCTGAAACTAACACAACACTGTAAATCCACTGTGAAGGTATTAGTCGCTCAGTTGAGTCTGGTTCAGTTCAGTACTCAGTTGGGTCCAGCTCTTTGTGACCCAGGGATTGAACCGGGGTCTCTCCTTCATGGCAGGCAGATTCTTTACCAGCTGAGCTACCAGGGAAGCCCAGAAATTAACTACAGTTTAATTTTTTAAAAAAAGGATGAGGGTGCAGTTATCTTCCTTCACGGATCTCTTTTGCTATGGGCAGAGCCTGGGGGGCCATCTAGGAATAAGATGTTGGTTGGACAGACCCAGCCCAGGGGAGCTGGCGGGAGGGGTGGAACTCTTCTCCTCTGCTGAGCTCGGGGTGCTGGGAGTGGGGTCGAGGGGGGCGCTATCTGGGCAGCTGGGGCAAAGGAAACGGGTGGCCGCTTCCATGTCGCTGTGACTGACGCCCTGTGTGTTCTCATAGGTGAGTATGGCGACTTTGATTTGGCGGACGCTCTCGACGACCCCGGTAAGTGCCTCTGGCAGACTGCGTCAGCTACTCCTCGGCTCCAGGTGGGGTGGGGTCGGGATTCCTTCCTACTGACAACTCAGAGAAGCTTTACTCCAGCCCTCAACCTCCGCACAGCTCCAGGGAACACTGGTGGGCTTGCATTTGCTCCAGGGAACACTGCTGGGCTTGCATTTGAAGGGACCTTTTGTCCTTTGAGTCCCCTGCCCCCTCGAACACGGAATGGAATTTGTGTTGGTCCCTGGCGTGCTGCAGTCCATGCGGTCGCAAAGAGTCGGACACGACTGAGCGACTGAACCGCACTGATCATATCTTTGTTAGTGCCTCGAGATTTTCATTTTTTTTTTTTTACATTATGACTTTAATGATTGTTTCTTTGAGCCCCACAAAAACCCTCAGGGCTTATCGCACGTATGTTCTCTGTCCCCAGAGCCCACCAAGAAGCCAAGCTCAGGTGAGTGACTTCCTGACTCAGGTGAGTGGACAGAGATGAGGCTGCCCCACCACAAGCTGAGGTTTTGGAAGGAGTTTTATGGGGTCTTCCCAGGATGCTCCGTGGTGAAAAATCCGCCTGCCAGTGCAGGAGACATGAGTTCCACCCCCGGGTCGGGAAGATGCCCTGGACGAGGACATGGCAACCCACTCCAGTATTCTGGCCTGGAGAATCCCATGGACAGAGGAGCCTGGTAGGCTAAAGAACAGCAGTGATAGGGTTGTGGAGGCTGAGACTGACGGACAGATGTTTAAAGTAAACCCAGGTGCTTCACGAAATGGATCGCAAAATCACGGTGAGATGTTATTCTCACTAGGATCGAAATAGGGATGGTAACAAGTGTTGGCGGGGGTGTGGAGACTTTGGAACATCTGTGTGTTCCCAGTGGGGGTAGAAAATTGTGCAGCCTCCACAGAAAAGAGTCTGGCATTCCCTCAGAAAGCGGCACCTGGAATTTCCCTCTGTGTGTGTGTGTGTTTGTTGCTCAGTTGTGTCCGACTCTCTGTGACCCCAGGGACTGTAGCCCACCAGGCTCCTCTGTCCATGGGATTGTCCAGGCAAGAATATTGGAGTGGGTTGCCACGTCCTCCTCCAGGAGAGCTTCCTACCTCAGGGATCAAACCCAAGCCTTCAAGGGATAAACAGTTTTTGTTTGATTCTTACACACCTTATAAATGCAAAACAGTTTTGTGAGTGTGCGTATGTAGTTTTTTCAAGTTCTAAGTTTTCAGGTTTGGCTTCTAGCGTCTACGTTGTTTTAAGCTGATCAACAATAATCTATATTTCATGAGCACATACTGTGAATAAAATATAAAATCTACTGTGAAGCTTATATATTTATAAGCTGCTTCTGACGGAAGGACATTTTTCTCTTCTAATCGTGCAATGTCATTTTTCCCACAGGTATCTACCCCAACCCAAGGCCCCCCTACCACCCACAGCCTGGAAATCCCGACAACAGTGGAAGTAAGTATGTTCATTCATTTCGGAACAGCTTTGAACCTGCCCACTGGAACTCAGGGAAGGTCACGGAGGCTGAAAGAAGCCTTTGTTGCCGTTCAGTCGCTCAGTCGTGTCCAACTCTTTGCGACCCCGTGGACTGCAGCACACCAGTCTTCCCTGCCATCACTATCTCCCAAAGTTTGCTCATATTCATGTCCACTGAGTCAGTGATGCCATCCAGCCATCTCATCCTCTGTCGTCCCCTTCTCCTGCCCTCAATCTCTCCCAGCATCAGGGTCTTTTCCAATGAGTCAGTTCTCCACATCAAGGTGGCCAAAATGTTGGAGTTGAAGCTTCAGCATCAGTCCTTCCAATGAGTATTCAGGACTCATCTCCTTTAGGATGGACTGGTTGGATCTCCTTGCAGTCCAAGGGACTCTCCAGAGTCTTCTCCAACACCACAGTTCAAAAGCATCAGTTCTTTGGCGCTCAGCTTTCTTTATGGTCCAAGTCTCACACCCTCACATGACTACTGGAAAAATCATAGCTTTGACCAGACGGACCTTTGTCAGCAAAGTAATGTCTCTGCTTTTTAACACACCATCTAGGTTTGCCACAGCTTTTCTTCCAAGGTGCAAGCATCTTAATTTCATGGCTGCAGTCACCATCTGCAGTGATTTGGGGGCCCAAGAAAATACATACAATACAAACCCTAAATAGTTAGTTTTGAGAGTGTGTGTATATAGGTTTTTCAAGCTCTAAATTTTGAGGTTCTATTTCTAGTGGCTAAGTAATTTTTACCCTATTGATGGTGACCTATTCTTTATGAGCACCAACTGTAAATAAAAGATAAAATCTACAGTCATGCGTATATTCTCGTTTTATAAGCTGCTTCTGACGGAAGGACATTTTCTCTTCTAATCATGCAATGTCGTTTTCCCCACAGATATCTACCCCAGGCCGAGGCCCCCCTACCACCCACAGCCTGGAAATCCCGACACCGGTGGAAGTAAGAATGTTCATTCATTTCAAAACAGCTTTGAACCTGCCCACTGGAACTCAGGGAAGGCCATGGAGGCTAAATGAAGCCTTTGTTGTTGTTCTGTTGCTGAGTCCTGTCTGACTCTTTGAGACCCCATGGAGCACAGCACGCCAGACCTCCCTGTCCTTCACCAACTCCCAGAGCTTACTCAAACTCGTATCCATCGAGTCGGCGATGCCATCCAACCATCTCACTCTCTGTCGTCCCCTTCTCCTCCTGCCCTCAATCTTTCCCAGCATCAGGGTCTTTCCCAGTGAGTCAGTTCTTCGCATCAGATGGCTAAAGTATTGGAGTTTCAGCTTCAGCATCAGTCCTTCAAATGAATAGTCAGGACCTATTTTCCTTTAGGATGGACTGGTTGGATCTCCTTGCAGTCCAAGGGACTCTCAAGAGTCTTCTCCAGCACCACAGCTCAAAAGCATCAATTCTTTGGTGCTCAGCCTTGTTTGTGGTCCAGCTCTCACACCCTTCCATGACCATTAGAAAAACCAGAGCTTTGAGTATACAGACCTTTGTTGGCAAAGTGATGTCTCTGCTTGTCTAATGGGAGGTGTTTCTTGCTATAGTTTTTTGGGAAACTTGAACATCTTTTCATGGGCTTCCGTTCTGTGGGCCCCAGAGAATCTTAGATGCTGGCCGTCCCATAAGATGAGTCTCTACTAGGGTCCTGGGAGACTCATCCATCCGGCAGCTCACGGGGCCAGCCTCAGGCTTGGGAGGGAACCGTGTGTGTGACTCAGGGCTCCGGCGGCCGACGCATGTCAGAACAGAGGAAGGCTGCTTTCTGGCTTTTGTTTTTAAACTCTGCTCGAATCTAGTGCCTTTAAAATGGTGGTGGTGGCCCTGACTAATGAATTTCTATCTGCTGTGAGTAATGTGGGTTTCCCAGGCGGGTAAAGATCCCGCCTGCCAACACAGGAGACTTAAGAGACGTGGGTTCGATCCCTGGTGGGGAAGATCCCCTGGAGAAGAGCATGGCAACCCACTCCAGGATTCTGGCCTGGAGAATCCCACGGACAGAGGAGCCTGGTGAGCTACAGTCCACGGGTTTGCAGAGTCGGACATGCCTGAAGCGACTTAGCACATACGCATAGTAGATTCATTTTGCCGGACAGCCTAAACTAACACAACGCTGTGAAGTACCTGTGTGTGTGTGTGTGTGTGTGTGTGTGTGTGTGTCTTAATTGCTCAGGCGTGTCCGACTCTTTGTGACCCCGTGGACTGTAGCCCGCCAGGCTCCTCTGTCTGTGGGATTCTCCAGGCCAGAGTCCTGGAGTGGGTGGCCATGCCCTCCTCCAAGGGATCTTCCCGACCCAGAGATCGAACCCGGGTCTCCTGCATTGCAGGCATATGCTTTACCATCTGAACCACCAGGGAAGCAAGTATACTCCAATAAAAACTCATGTTTAAACAGAGCTTTACGCTTGGGGATTCTGAGCACCAGCGTTTCCGTGGAAGCGATAAACAGCAAACATAAATCAGCCGGAACGTCATTTTGTATTCTGGCCTTTTGCGTTGTGTGAATGGTTCGTCACTGGGAGGTGTCCCTCTTTTCCTAAAAATCACGTGTTTTCCAACAGATGTCTACCCAAGGCCGAAGCCGCCGCCTCCTCGCCCGCAGCCTGGGAACAGTGGAGGTGAGTCCTCCGGACTAAGACGCCTTCCGGAAGCGTCTTCGGAAGTACTAAGGAGTCTTCCGGAAGATGGTTTGGAGAATTCGGTCCTCGATTGCATTTAAAATATGCAAAAGTTCTTATTTTCTTTTTTTAAAAGCAATTCTTTTTAAAGAGTCCTATATTTATGTTGGCTGTATCGGGTCTTAGTTTCGGCCTGTGGATCTTTCGTGGGGTGCACGGATTCTCCAATTGTGGAACCCCCTCTGCATGAGGTGTCCGTGCGCCCCTGATGCGTGAGCTTGGGTGTGCAGGGGGCTCCCTGGACCGCGGGCTCTGACCACCCTCTGCTCTGTCCCACAGGCTTCCTGAGCGACTCGGATCTCAGCGACGGCGGCCACTACCCGCCCAGGCCGCCCGCAGGTACGTGCGGGCTTCTGTGAGCCCACCCCAGACCCCGTCCCAGGCCCCGCGTGGAAGGTGGCGGGCTGTGGACTCTCCCCTCCAGCCTCTGGGGGGCGGGAGGGAGGCGCGTCCCTGAGGCTGTCCACGCCTGGGGTCTGCAAGGTGGACAAAACCAACCATAGGGCCGATGCTGCTTACAAGTAGGGGTCATCTCCATGTAAATATGTGTGTGTGTGCATGTGTGTGTGCACCCGTATACATACCTCCACAAACACACGTACTTATTATATACATGTCTGTGTATATGTGTGTATACACACATATCTATATGTATACCTATATCTGTATCTATACCTACATCTATATGTATCTATATCTATGTTTATCTATATGCATATGTATGTGTATACCTGCATATATATTTCTATCTACAGCTATATGTATATCTATATATATCTGTCTATATCTGTATCTATATGTATATATATCTATGTTTATCTATATGCATATCTATATCTATATCTGTATATATATTTATATCTGTAGCTAAATGTATACCTATCTATATCTATACCTATATCCATATGTACAGCTATCTATATGTTTATCTATATGTATATCTGAATATATATTTATATGTATATGTTTATCTATAGCTATATGTATATCTGTCTCTATATATGCATATGTATGTCTATATCTGTATATATATTTATATCCATAGTTATATGTAATCTATATCTATAGTGATATACATATCTATATGTATATCTATCTGTATCTATGTTTATCTGTATGTATATCTGTAAGTGTATACATATGTATATCTATGTCTATATATACATGTGTATATCTATATCTGTATATATGTGTATATCTATAGTTATATGTATATCTATATCTGTAGTGATATCTATATGTACATCTATCTGTATCTGTGTTTATCTGTAGGTATATCTGTATGTATATTTATATGTATATGCATGTCTATAGCTATATGTATATCTATGTCTCTATATATGCACATGTATATCTATGTGCATATCTGTATCCAGCTATATCTATAGCTATATCTATGCTGTGCGGTCACGTCCAGCTCTTTCTGACCCCATGGACTCTAGCCCACCAGGCTCCTCTGTCCATTTGACACTGGACAGAGTATCACAGGCAAGAATTCTTGTCCAGGCAAGAATACTGAAATGGGTGACCACGCCCTCCTCCAGGGGATCTTCCCAACCCAGGGACGGAACCCAGGTCTCCCTCACTGCAGGTGGATTCTTTACCATCTGAGGCACCAGGGAAACCCAAGAATGCTGGGGTGGGTAGCCTGTCCCTTCTCCAGCAGATCTTCCCGACCCAGGAATTGAACCGGGGTCTCCTGCATTGCAGGTGGATTCTTTACCAACTGAGCTATCAAGGAAACCCACCTATATATCTATATCACATCTTCATCTATATCTATACCAAGACCTGTACCTATTTCTATATCTATATCTGTCTACACCTATACCTACATCTATATCTGTATCTTTATCTGTTTCTAGATCTATATCTATCTGTACTCCTAAGTTACTATCTTTGGGCTTCCCAGGCAGCTCAGTAGTAGAGAATCCACCTGTAATGCAGGAGACCTGGGTTCCATCCCTGAGTCAGGAAGATCCCGTGGAGGACGGCATGGCAACCCACTCCACTGTTCTTGCCTGGAGAATCGCATGGACAGAGGAGCCTGGCGGGCTACAGTCCATGGGGTCAGAGAGTCGGACACGAATGAGCACCTGAACACACAGGCACACACCTATCTTTACAGAGATGTTGGGTCTATACAAACCCTTGCAGATGTGTCTCTGTATCTCTCCCCCCAAAAATGTATTTTTTACTGTGTTACAGTTGACATATAACATGATACAAGTGGGTCCCTGGAGGTGGGGAGTAAGCCTGTGTTACTCTGAAGCTCTGGATCGGCGGGGGCGTGGGGGCATGTGTAATCTCTGAAGACACACAGCTTTCTGAAGGGCTCTCTGTGGCATGAGTTTTTCCACCCAGGAGCCATGATTCTGGGAGAGGGACTCCCTAGAGCATCTTCTGGAGGGTCCTGAGCTTTTCCACCACATAGGTCTCCAGACGACTCACTGGAAAAGACCCTGATGCTGGGAAAGATTGAAGGCGGGAGGAGAAGGGGGCGACAGATGATGAGATGGTTGGATGGCATCACCGACTCGACGGACATGAGTCTGAGCAAGCTCCAGGAGTTGGTGATGGACTGGGAGGCCTGGCGTGCTGTGGTCCATGGGGTCGCAAAAAGTCGGACACGACTGAGCGTCTCAACAACAACCAGCGCTCTTTTGTGGGTGACTCTTGGGTCCGGCTTCGGTGCCAGCCGGGCGGATGCCTGCTGGACCCAAAGGTCCACACCCCGAATGGCCATCACATCCCTCTTCTCTCCTGCAGGAGGCGGCGGTGGAGGCGGCTACCACCCGGGTCACGACAGCTACGGTAACAGGCCCGCTACACGCAACACTGGGGCCCGTGGGGGTGGCGGGGCTGTGTGGGCTTTCCCAGGGCTCCCATTAGAGCATCCTCCTGGGTCTCTGGTGTCGGCCGCTTGCTGACCCTCAGCTTGGCTTCGTCCAGCTCTCCAGGTGTCCAGGGGCTGACCCCACAGCCCTCTGTCCAGGTAACAAGACACAGAGACCCTGGCTGCAAGCCTCATTAGGGAGAGAACAGCCCAGGAATTGTGGATTCTTTATGTGGATAGTGCCTTATGCCAAGAATGAAAGGAATTGACCCCGGGAGAAATAAACTCCGTTCTTGTCTATACTGAGCTTTCCTTACAGCGAGGGGTAGATCCTGAAATCTCCAGAGAGTCTCTGGTGCTGTAAAGCAAACTTGGGAGAAAAATTGAGCCACAAAAGCAAAATGCATTGGATTCATGTTTCTCAACTGAGATAGAATCCTCATGAAACATTCGGTTAGCTTCAGGTGTACAAAGTAGTCATGTGACACTTTGTAAATATAGCTGGTGCTCTTTAGCCGCTCGGTCGTGTCTGACTCTCTGCAACCCCGTGGACTGTGGCCCGCCAGGCTCCTCTGTCCCTGGGATTCTCCAGGCGAGAATATCGGAGCGGGTTGCCATGCCCTCCTCCAGGGGAATCTTCCCGACCCAGGGATCGAACCCAGGCCTCCTGCGTTGCAGGCGGATTCTATACTGTGTTGAGCCCCCGGGGAATCTCTTTTTAAAATTACTCCCCGGGGACTTCCCTGGCGGTCCAGTCGTTAGGACTGTGGGCTTTCACTGGCAGGACCTGAGATCAATGCCTGGTCAGGTGATTAAAATCCTGCATATCCTGCATGCAGCTAAGAAGAAAAAAACATTGCCCTCTGGACATAAGAAGGTGTGCAGAAACCTCCTTTATTTCTCACTCGCTGAGATGACTGTTTGCTGCCTGGCCTTGGACTTTTCCCTGGATGTGCTGAGAAGTGGGGTTTTGAGCTCAGGCAAGGCCCCTCTCTCTGTGGCTGGGGGTCAGCATGCCCCTGGCATCAGCAGACCTGCTGAGCTTGCAAGGTGAGCTCAGCCCCACTCGGTGCAGCCAGGGAATGTCCTGGGGCGCGCTTGTCTCTTCCTCTGGCTCGGGGAGAATCAGGCTGGGGCCTTTGGCCGGGATGTCACAAGCCTCTCTTCTGGGGTCCTGTCCTTCTCGAAGCTTCCTTTGGGGATGTCTCCGGCGTTTCCGAGTGTTATCTTCCTCTTCACCTGGCCTTTCTGTCCTGCAGGACGAGGAGGGCGCGGCAGACCCGGCTTTCCTGGCACTAATTATGGTAAAGGAGGTCTCTCGTAAAAGCACACCAGGAGACGTTCTCCTGCTGACGAGCTAACCCCCGCGTGGGCGCTGCCTGACCGCCTGGCTCTCTGAGTGGCGTCCTCACTGTGCGCTGAAGCCGGGGAGGGGTTTGCACGGCACGCGGGTCGCAACCCTTCCAAGAAACGAAGGCCTGCTCATGCGCGTTACTGCCTGTGCACACGCGTGTGGGCATGTGTGTGTCCCTGCATGTGCATACATGTGCATGTGGCTGGGTGGGCATATGGGCACTTGTGTCTATACATGTGTACATATGTTCGCATGTACCTTTGCGCTGTGTATCTGTGCGTGCATGCGTATGAATTTGAAGCACATGTGCATGTGTGTGTGCGTGCTATGGGTGTGTGGGTCAGGGCAGATGCGTGCATGTGGATATATGTATAGGTCTTGTGTATTCATATGTATATGTGTGGGAGTGTCCTGTGCACACATGTGTGGAGACATGCATGTGTGTGTGCACATGTCCACATGGGCACAGTGCCTGCAATACTTGTGTGCATGGCTGTGCTGATGTGTGTGTGTACGTGTGCTTGTGCTGTACATGCATGCATACATGTATACATGGGTGTGCACGTGTTGCATGTCTGTGCATGGGCGTGTGAGTGGGTAGCAAGTGTGTGCATGTATGTCTGTTCGTGTGTGCTGCATTGTATATGTGGGGATCTGTTGTGTTGCATGTGTGTGCATGTATGGATATGGGTGTGTCAGTGTCTTATATGTGCATGCCTGTATGTATGTGGGGTGTCCCATGTGTGTGTGGCTGTGTGTGTTGTATGCATGCCTGTGGGGTTTGCATGTGTGTTCATGTGTGTGGGCCGTGTGTGCACACGTATGTATATGGGTGTGTGGGTGTGTTGTATGTGCGTATGTATGCGTGGTGTGTGTCCATGTATGTACATGTGTGTATATGGTTATATGTTTTGTGGGGGGATGTGTATTGGTGTGTGTTGTGTGTATGTGGGATGTGTGTGTGCGTGTGTGTATATGGGCGTGTGTGTATGTGTGTTTGTGGATGTTGTGTGTGTGTGCCTGTGTGTATATGGATGTGTGCACATGCCTCTTGTGCACGCCTTTGTGTGTACCCCACGCCCTGAGGTGACAGCCTCAGCCCCTCGGTCTCCACCCCCATCCCCGCCCCACTGGGATGCAATGCCCGCCTCCCAGCAGCAGGCAGCCCGGGCCCAGCTCTTCCGAATACGCGCGTGACCCTGTGTCTGTCCCCTTCCAGGTGGAGGCGGCTACTCCACGCCCGGCAACCAGCAAGGTAGGGCCCGGGGGCGGAGCGCACGGTCTTCCGAGGGGTGGGGTCCCCACATGTCTATGGAGGGGCCAGGGCAGGCCTGGTTTTGTTTCTGCTGAGGGCGTTCAGGAACCACCTGCTCTCTCTGTGTGGGCGTGCAGAAGCTCCTTCCGGGCGGGGTCTGTCCCACGGGGGTCAGAGAAGGTGACGTGGGGACCGCCTCAGAGCTGAAAGATGCCTGCGGCTCTGGGGACCGATTCGGAGCTGAAAGATGCTTGGGCTTTGAGAGCTGTCTGCAGTGCTTGGAGCTGCTGCTCCCCACCGCCGGCACCCCTTTCGTTGACTCAAGCCTCCAAGGAGAGCAGCAGAGAAACCACAGCCTTCACCCCCTAGGAGCCCCCAGCGGGGCCCTGCCCGCCCCGTCACGGCCCGCAGGGGAGGCCTGGAGTGCGGCCAGCGGGCGTCGGCCGTGTGTCTCTGGGACGACGGAGGCCAGCCTCTTGGGAATCTGGAGGCAGACACCAGCGCAGAGCGATGGTGATCCCACCTGGCAGACCCCAAGGCTTTGGGGGAGAAGAAAGGGACAGAGCTAACTTTCTAAGCCTTGAGGCCCAGGACCCGGGCAGCACTGAAATATTGCCATTTGCGGGACGTATTGCCATTTGCAGGAAGTATTGCCGTTTCCGGGACGCAGGTGTTTGTGGGACGTTTGCGAAGGCCACGGGTGCTTTCCTTCTCGTGGACTGGAGGCAGGGGAGGAGAGGTGCCCCCCAGACAAGAATCCAGGTCCAACGCACGGTTTGATGCAGTCTTTGGCAGGACAGCGGCTTCCCCGGTAGCTCAGCTGCTGAAGAATCCGCCTGCAATGCAGGAGACCCCGGTTCAATTCCTGAGTTGGGAAGATCCCCTGGAGAAAGGATAGGCTACCCACTCCAGTATTCTTGGGCTCCCTTGGTGGCTCAGCTGGTAAAGAATCTGCCTGCAATGTGGGAGACCTGGTTTGATCCCTGGGTTGAGAAGATTCCCCTGGAGAAGGAAATGGCAACCCACTCCAGTATCCTGGCCTGAAGAATCCCATGGAGTCCCATGGGGTCGCAAAGAGTCGGATGCGACTGAGTGACTTTCAGTTTCCCTTTCCGGAGGACAGGGGGCCTTCCCTGGTGGTTCACAGATAAACACTCCAGCTGCAATGCAGGAGATGTGCGTTTGATCCCTGGGTTGGGAAGATCCCCTGGAGCAGGAAATGGCAAACCACTCCAGTATCCTGGCCCGGAGAATCCCATGGACAGAGGAGCCTGGTGGGGCCACAGTCCGTGGGGTCAGAGAGACTCAGACACAACTGAAGCGGCTAAGACTTTTTCACTTTTGCCAGGACAGAGGACTCACCCAGGATTGGGGTGGGGTGGAGGACGGAATGCGTGTTCCTGGAGGGGACATCTCCAAGGCACGGTCTGCAGATGTCTCGGAGTCAGGCAGGACAGGAGACAGAGGTGTTGTGCTAGCTTTGACTGAATGGACCCCCGGGAACTGTAGTAATTCGTGGGGCCGGAGTATGGAATGTGGTGGATGTGTGGGCTACATATGTAACTGGCCAGGTGACCCCTGGGCTGCTCTGCACTTTATACACACAGTCCCTTAGATTTCAAGGAGATCAATTCCCTGAAAGAAACTGACCCTGAAAATTCACTGAAAGCAGTGACGCTGAAGCTCCAATCCTTTGGCCACCTGATGCGAAGAGCTGACTCCTTGGAAAAGACCCTGATGCTGGGAAGGATTGAAGGCAGGAGGAGAAGGGGACGACAGAGGATGAGATGGCTGGATGGCATCACCGACTCGATGGACATGAGTCTGAGAAAGCCCCGGGAGTTGGTGATAGACAGAGAGGCTTGGTGTGCTGAGGTCCATGGGGTCGCAAAGGGTTGGACATGACTGAGCAACTGAAGAACATGAGTAGACATTTTCTGTCCCCGAAGATACAAATTCATCCAAACACACCCATTAAATACTATATATATATATATATATATGTATCTGTACAGAACCGTTGGACGCTCCAGACCCATCAGACGTGGTTAGTAAGCGCCCCTTAGATAAAGCAGGACGCATCCCTTGGGCTTCTTCGATGAATTCCATCCTTTTTCCGTGAATCGGAGGGCGGGGAGGGCCGGGCGCGGGGGTGAGTACAGAGTCGATGGAGACTCGTGGTGTCCCCACCGGCGCTGTTTTTCCTGAGACCCGTTCTTGTTCCCCTGGATTCCCGCAGGCAACAGGATAGCGCAGATTGCATCTCCCATCGTCTCTGTGGTGGTGGTGACGCTGATTGGGGCGGCAGTCAGCTACTATAACCGGAGGAGAAACTGTCTCAGGACAAACGGCAAGTCTTCCCCCCACCCCTACCCCCAATTGTGTCTGCATTAAGTGGTGAAGCCTGATTTTAAGTATATATATATATATATGAGTGAGTGAAAAACAGGCAGACTCACAGATATAGACAACAGGCTAGTCGTAAAGCCTGATTTAAATATATATATATGTATATGAGTGAATAAGAATGAAAAATAGGCAGACTCACAGATACAGAATACAAGCTGGTGGTTTCCAGTGGGGAGATGGTAGAGGGCAGGGGTTAGATGGACGGGAGGGGATTAGAAGGAAGCAGCTAAACGGCAACCCGCTAAGGAAGCAGCTAAACGGCAACCCGCTCCAGTATCCTTGCCTGGAAAATCCCATGGACAGAGGAGCCTGGCAGGCTACAGCCTATGGGGTTGCAAAGAGTCGGACAGGACTGAGCGACTAACACTTCCTTCCTTCCTTACCATGTACAAAGTAAATAAGCTACAAGGATATATTGTTTGGAACATTCCCGGCTGCAACAGAGCCAATATTTCATAATGATTTTAAACCTGTGCTAAGTTACTTCTGTTTGTGTCTGACGTCTTGCGACGCCGTGGACTGTAGCCCGCCAGGCTCCTCCGTCCATGGGATGCTCCAGGCAAGAATCCTGGAGTGGCTTGCCTTTTCCTCCTCCTAACTTTAAGTGTCGTACAGTCTATAAAAGATATCGACTCACTCCGCTGCACACGAGATTTCCCTGGTGGCTCCGGCGTAAAGAGTCCGTCTGCCAGTGCAGGAGACGCGGCTTCGATCCCCGGGTCGGGAAGATCCCCTGGAGGAGGAGATGGCAACCCACTCCAGTGTTCTTGCCTGGAGAAGAATCCCATGGGCACAGGAGCCTGGCGGGCTGCATACAGTCCACGGGGTCGCAAAGAGTCGGACACCACTGAGCGACCCAGCACGCACACGCGACCTCCAGGGAGATGAGTTTGTGGAGGGGGCGGGGGGTGGTTCTGGGGCTTTCTGCTTCAACGCTGGGTCCAAGCTCCTGGGTTTGCAGAATTACAAGCGCAGGGAGCCGCCCCTGGGGGCAGAGATCCTGGCCGGTGATCCAGGAAATTCCTGGAGACGTGGCTAAAGAGGAGGTCGGGGAGAGACGCTCCCCTGCAGAAGCAGCAACCGCTCCGACGGTCATCTGGGTTCTCTGAAGCTCTGGTCCGGAGACCACTCATGTCGGCATCTACCTGGGTTTTGCCGGCGAGGGAGGCTATGAAACAGAAGTCTGCTCCAATAGCGTTTATATTTTTATTTTTTTGGATTTGGGCGCCTTCACAACCTCGCTAGCTGCCCTCTGCCCCCTCTGCTGGTGGTGGGGTGGTACTGACTTACACCCTGGCCAGGAAGGGCCCTGACTTACACCCCAGCCTGAAACTTGGGCGGGGGAGGAAAGCAGAGTTCCTGAAAACAAAGAACCAACCAAACAAAAAAATCCCGTACATTCTGGACCACAGGCCTCACCCTAGATGTTGTTGTTGAGTCGCTCACTCGTGCCCGACTCTTTGCGACCCCATGGACTGCAGCACGCCAGGCTTCCCTGTCCGTCACCAACTCCCGGAGTTTTCCCAAACTCGTGTCCGCTGACTCAGTGATGCCATCCAACCATCTCATCCTCTGCCGCCTCTGCAGTGAAAACAATTAACAGTGCTTTAAGATCAACCCACTGAAGTGGTTTTCTTCTCCCCCCCCTAACTATGCCGTCTTGCTTTCAATCTTTCCTTGCAGAACCACGGACTGTCTGAGGTCTTCAGAATCCGCCCACGGCTCTGAGAAAGCCTCCGTTCAGATGACAACCCTGTCGATCCCGTGGAACGTCCCTTTCATTCTTGACTTCGCCCGCTGCCCTGGAGGGTCTTCCCTTCTGTTTGCAATAGACGCGCTGCCCCCACAAAGAAGGGGGTTCCTGATTCCTCAGATACATCGATGCGAACAAGGTGGACAGCTGGATCTTGGGTTGTAAAGAGGTAGCTTGATCTGTGGGTTCCATTGGCCATGCAGCCTAAGAGGTTCTGACTCTGGTCAGAGAACACAGTGGCCAGGAGAATAGCTGGGGGTCTTGGGTGGGGCTGCCGTGGAGGACTTCCAAAGGATGGAAGCAGCTGCGTGTCAGCAGACAAGCTTAGCTGATGCTATAGGTTCCTTGCAAAAGTGAAAGTGTTAGTTTCTCAGTGGCAACTGACTCTTTGAGACCCCTTGGACTGTAATCCACCAGGCTCCTCTGTCCTTGGGGATTCTCCAGGCAAGAATACTGGAGTGGGTTGCCTTGCCCTCCTCCAGAGGATCTTTCCTGACCCAGGGAGCCAACCCAGGTCTCCCGCATCGCAGGCATATTGCTTTACCATCTGAGCCACCAGGGAAACTAAACCCCCTTGAGTTATCGTCAGGAATCCGGACCCGTTCACCTCCGCCCGCGAATCAGGAATGAATGCGTTTCGGCCCTAACGGCAGCATTTGAACTTTATTTCAGCTCACAAAAGTATTATCATCTGCAGAGGATGAGGCTGGATTTTTGGAAATTTAAGTGCAAGGCCGATGATGTGGAAACCGCCTTGGGGAAGCGATCTTGGCGTGGTTTTTTGCCATGAAATTGTATGGTTTCTACTTTTTTTTTTCCAGAACGTGGGATAGAGATC